TAATTAACAGCACGAACTTTTTTTCAACAGTGTTGACCTGTACGTGATAATGTCGGTAAGTGTGCTCTTTGTTTTACCAACTGGATTTGTACTTTGTCTTTTCCAATTGAATTTGTTTCGTTATCTAAAAAAGAAAATTGAGCATTAAATTATCTCCCCGGTGCCGATCGATTCTGTTTTAATTCATGCAGACCCTCTTGAAGCAGTAACCTGCTCAAGGTGTACGATGAAGTAGGCATGTAGCCCGAAGTAATAATTCGGAGTCGGAATTTGATATAATGTAAAATGAAATTGAAAGAAAAAATTGATTCTGAGTTTCACTTGTGTTTAGACCCAAGAGTGCCATTTTAAAGGTTAATATCTTTGTTTGACAAACTATTTGGCACATGGGGCAATTTAGTGTTATCAACTGAGTTGAAAACGTAAATTGACCGCCGTAAAGAGTTCAAAGGCTGACGTTTCGAGCGATTCGCTTTGACGAAGGGCGATCGCTCGAAACGTCAGCCTGTAAACTCTTTACGGTGGCCAATTTACGTTTTCAACTCAGTTGATAACACTAAATTACCCTGTTATACTCTTCCACCGACGCAGCACCACATTTTCTTTAGAAACTTACCCTCTATATTTATTTGGCACATAGCAAAGGTACATCAATCATAGTAATTAACTTATCGACCAGAAGTTTATTGAAAATTTTACTCAGTAAATGCAAAGCCCCACCATATTCACCTTTTCCCTGAGATCTTACGACCTATAGACTTGTTGAAATGTTTATCAAAGCGTACAGACATTTCAGATTCAGATTTAAAGTCACATTTATATTGCATTTGTCCCAGAATAAAACTCTAATATTCCCGTCTTGTTCCCCTTCTCCTTCATGTCAGACAACGCCCTTTCCTCTACTTTCGATCACTAAGGATATCTCACCGTAAAAAAACAGCTTTGCAAATTAATCTTCGTGCATTTAGTAGAATTTTAAATATTGCAAGCTAATAAAATTATATCTAAACTTTATCACGCACGTCAATGGATCGCCACTTTTTTTGATGAAGGATATATGAAAGCCTAGACTGAGGCTTTACGTCCAAAAATGAACGCGTGGCTTAGTCTTTGTGAGTTGTTAAACAAGCCAATACTCATACAAATTGAATATTCCTCTATCTTATCAGGAAAATGTATTTCATTAAAAACAAAAGTGCAAAAATGTGATCAAAAAGAGATCCTTTTGGACCCAACCTTCTTTCAAACGGAAATTTCTCTGTAACTTATTTTTCAAAGGCTGTAAACGTCTTTCTTGCGTAGTAGAAATACTGTCCTTTTCACACTGGGCGGACAGCTATCAATATATCCGCAGCAATTTTCCTCCGACCCTGAGTCTTCAAAACTATCCCTTGGAAATAATTGAACACGTTCTTCAAACTGTGGGCGTTTCCCTCGAGCGGTGTCTTTTTTTTCTTCTTTGTAATTCAAACATACAAGTACAGAAATGAATATTCCAGAAAAACCTCGAAAATTATGTTGAACACAATCGCGAACTGAATTTCTATTTGCACAGTTTATGTCTTCCTTCAGTAGATTGAATTTAAAGAACCGAAAAATTTTTTTTATGTTTTTAAAGTAGTTTCAGATTGTGCTGAAGAACGCTGATAAATCCAAAAGGCGGCGTTCCCGTCGCGCAAGAACGCGTGGGTGACTCCAGATACGCGTGAATTGAACTCACGTGTTCGACAACGTGACGCGACATCTCACTTGTTTGCACTAAAAATTCAGTAAATGCCTGTTGATTTAACAGGATAGCGATAATCGATTTGACAGGAAGGAGTTTTTGCGTTTTTCTAATCCAAATAAACGTCGCATTTTGTCACCGATGAAAACAACAGGCTAATTCTTTACAAAACATCAGCATGATTAGCCGAAAAATGAAATAATTTCTTGAGAAACACGTTTCTCTCCTACGTGTTACTCTGTTTTGTTATATAACGGTTGTTATATAACGTGAAAACACGTGTTAGTGTACACGTGAGTTAACGACCCACGCTTCACGGATCTCGGAAACGAAAGGATTTCACGCGAAATACCGTTTCGTTAGAATAAAAATACCGTCACGTTCTTCTATTTCTAAGAATGGCTTTAATCAATAGTTCAAAAAATAAAGCAACTGAAACAAGCGTTTCACGAAAAAGTTTTTTCACCTTCTATCATATACTGAATTGGCTTTTGATGTGACGTACAACATTCCCTTTGTTTCCGTTTTTTATTTCTGTACCTCGAGATACAGTTCATAAATTTGAAACATTTCTGAATGATATTAAATATCATTTACATCGTTTTGGAAGATTGCAAACTTGATCACAGTGTGTAATGCATTGAACAGTAGTATTTCTCTAATGATGCGAAAAATCTCCACACCAACACCAATATTGCACTTCGGTAAGTGAATGTCGAAAGCTATTAAATCATTGACAATAAAACACTTCAAAGCAATTTTTGTTGTGTAACAAGCCAACAGTGTTTCTTTGGTAAACGTGAAAAATTCCTCTTTGATTGCCGGATAAAGTAGGCGAGGAAAAATCCCAAGAGAAGCGGTGTTAAGGATGTCATCAGAGTCTTCTTAAAATATAACACAAAAGTGAACGCAAAGAAATAACGCGCTATTTAGACAAAATTGCTCCTTAATTAGGCTGAACTCGGAGGCGTTTCTGAGTTGGCAAAGGCTGGAAGCAAATTCTTTTTGTAGTATTGCTTAATAGATCGTTTTACGTGCAAGGTACGCGTAGCAAAGAGCTGCAATGGAACAAATTTCAAGCTAATAAACAAATCCTTTATTTTCATGGGCGGCTCTGTATGTCCACGCACTTGGGTTTTTTTCGCCCTCGACAATTTATTAAATTTGCGTTGAACGATAAGCTTTAAAAGCTGGACCATATCTTTGGCGTGATTTTGCGTAAACTATTTGGAAACGCGAAACTGCATTCGCCATACTTTCTAACGCGCTGCTAGGAAGACATACAATGAATTTTGAAGGTTTATTAGAGGTAAGTAATACAGAAGCATTTCTCGCCCAGCAAAGACATACTTTGGAAAGTCATAACATTTCATCTCTTTTTCGTGCGAAACCATTACTATCTGGGTCTTCAAATCTTTCAATCTTCACAGTACATGGGTGGAAATAGAGACACCAGAATTCCGACAGGTTGAAAAAAAGAAAATGGCCTATATACCATACTGTTTTCTCGTATGTTCTCACGAATGATATCGAGGAATGTTCTTGATATTCAAAAATCCAAAAAATGAGTAGAAAATAAAACGGACCAAGTCGAGAAATCGTTTTTTCTTTTTCAAAACAAGTTTTCCTATCTTAAGTAAAATATATTTTAGCTTTCTTCGCTTCTGAAGCCTTGTTTACTGTTTTGCGCTCTCAATGTTAAAATCCTAGTACATGCAAGTTACAAAATATAAGGTAAAAAGCAGCTGTTTAAAGTAATTAAGTAAAATTTTACTGAAAGGAAAACTTGTGACCCTTTTAATTCCTTATAAAAAAAAATCCTCTTTTTTTACCAATGAAGATTCCAAAAATTGTCTTGTCGTAATTTGGGGCCAATAACAACATTCGACAAGAAGTTGTACTGTCATTACAATAAACGATTTTCTTCTTTATATCAATTTCAGGATAAATTTTAAATAGACACATTTTTAAAAGAAGAGAAAACTAGGGGCTGAAAAAAAATCATTTCACAATTTTAGTGGTACAGAGATGTCACAAGGTCACACCAAACTGACTACATAAATTACTAAATTTGCGTTTTCAACTTAGACAAAATTACAGTTCCTTCAAATTTTGTAACAATTATTTGCACAGTGTGATATCAGTGTTCCCCCATGAATGGCATTCACAGAGAAAAAGGGGAACGTCCTTAATTTTCCTTGAGAAATATTCTAAAAGATCACTCTTACTGACTTTCTTAGTCATAAAAATGTAACTCTCTCCAAGGGTTTACATCAATCCAAATACACTTAACAGTAAATTAGTCAACAGACGACAATGGTTTCCGGATGGTGCAACATCAGGATGGACACTCCTCTCAGAATCTTGGAAATGTACTGAAAATCATAAATCTTCCGCAATAAAATTATTGGTTGGAATTGAGTTCAAAAACCTCAGGAAAGAGCTTTTGACTCTAAAAAAAAACATCAAAATGCTCAACCCTCGGTACTAGAGTCATTAATGTGATTTTTTCTACTTAGATCGAGTTTAATCTTGAATTTTTTTTTGTTTGTTTTCAAAGCCAAGGAAGGCATTTTTCAACGCAATTTTGCCTCAATAACCAATACTTCAGTTTCAGCCACAAAATCTCGTATTCACATTAGAAAATCTTTCAGAAAACTTATTTTTTACCAACCTTTTTCCACTGAGTCTTGCTTGCAATTTTTCCATAATAACAAACATCATTTCAGGTTCAGCTACAAAATCTCGTATTCACATTAAAAGATGTTCCAGAAAAGCTTATTTTTTAACAACCTTTTCCACTGAGTCTTGCTTGCTAAGTCTGGCTGAGCAAATAAAGTGTAGCCTTTTGCCGGATTTAATAACCAAAAAACCGTGCAGAGCTCTTTTCCTTTTAATCTTTTTCAGTTGACTAGAAACAAAGCTTAAATGAACAGTTCGTAAGTCGATAAGAATTGGAAACACAAAGAAAACGGTGCTAATTTTATGATTCACAGCGAGAGATAAGATGTACATTTGAAAAGAATCCAGCCCAGAAGTAAAACACACCTTGAGAATTCCCATCATAAATCTAAGACATAATACATACAACTGAAATGTTTTGAGTTATATTTGAATGTTTTGGGAGATTTTCTACCGTCAGGTGTTCTCTCCATGTGAGCATAACGTGCCGGCACTGATTCTTATAAATATGATAGGACTTGAGACGAGTCTAATACGATAGTCATCGTGCACAACTCAAAGAACCTTTTCGCCAACACAGAAAGTTTGGGAAAAGAGTTTCCGATCTCAAATGAAGGCATTCAACACTTTTGGTTAGGAATTCAGGTATGCATTTCATTTGTACTTGTTTCTTTGATAAAATGCATTCAATCTGAGCATTTTATATTGGTAGTCATTTTTGTGTTATAGAGTTTGCTTGGGTAACTATGCAGGCATGCTCGAGCAGAATGAACACCAATCTTATATGTAACAACTTTTGAAGGTTGAAAAACGAAAGAGGATTTTAGTTCAAAGGTCAAAAGGAGAGTCACGTTTTTTTCCATTGATTTTCATAGTAACAGACCTGGAAAGCATCCTCTAAGCTCAACATGTAGGTGTAAGCCTGTATCTTGTATCTCTTTCAATTGGTGACGTATAATTTGCGACTCATTGATAAGAATTTGCTAGGACATTACAATCTCATTTTGGGCTGTTTTCGCTGCCGATATTCATAATTAATCCAAAAATGCTTGCCACTAAAAGTCTCCTTCTCTAAAAAAAAAAAAAAAACGATAAAAACACCTGCAGTGAGAATGTAGAAATTGAAGGTTTGACATCGTATTGGGAAATTAAATGGACATGTAAGATTCGCGAGATGTTAACAACCCTCCGACCAGCTTTTACCATTTGAAATATCAGATTAGTTCCACATTGGTGGGAAATTAAAAATGAAAATTAAAGCAGAAATTTAGAAACGGCCATGATTTCCTTGGAAGACAAAAATATGATCGCTGCCAGAAATTCAAAGGACTCGTGCAGGTAGTTTTCATTGGGGCATTAACGAAAAAGTAAACAAAACTATTTGGATTTTCCAAGAGGCTTTGCAACATTTCAAATTTTTCAGGATCAAAATAAAACGAAATGGAAATTATTCTATCAACCATAAGCCGAGGAACTATTCAATACATAGAAGAGAATGCTATCGTTGAAATGGTTTATATTTTAGGGAGATTTTCGTTTTCATGCATCATACTTCCGTGAGCTAGCTGTTGCCCTATTTTTTACACTACAGAAACATGTAGTACAGAATCACTTTCCTGTCCTTTTTAAGCAATGTTAGTAAGTATATCTTCGATAGCTAGTTATTAAAAGCTTTTAGTTTGGATTTCAGTTGTGTCGATAGCTCTTTTGGTAGAAAAACAGTCGCTGAATATCCTTGAAATGAGAAATCAACTTAAAAGGTAGCATTACATTTAATATTCTTGCTCCTTGTACTAGGGGAAAATAAAAAAGGTGGGAATTAGATGTCTATTTGGTAGACCTATATAGTTTACAAGGAAAGCGATGATTTAACGAAAACACTTTTGACTTGTCTTCAGCCGGCACGAAACTGTACTGAACCAAAGAGTTTTTCCTGTAGTCCAACGTTAAAAAGAAATACACATTTCAGTCTCGCAGGAGCTCTTTAGTCGCTATTAACAATGAGTACATGAGCCTGTTTGGAAAATGGAGACAAACAGAGGAGAGCGAGCCTTGGAACAGTTAAATTTCCAAATTTTTTAGACTATTTTGAAAGAAGAACGCGTTTTAAATCTTTGTGTACTTCTATTGAAATGCAATTTTAAGCGACAGAGGAAGACCTTGCTCGCTCTCATTGAGAAGGAAAAGCTCTAGCGAAATTAAATCTCTGAAATAATCACTGCCGACTCACATACCTAGGACCATCATTTTGTTTTTTCTTTGGCTTCAGTATAGTGTTTAACCCAAAGAAATGCACAAGGCGAAATGCACCCAAGATACTACAAAAGACCTAGCTTCGACAACAGTTTTTCTGAAAACAAAATTTTCCTCTTTGCGATATAAACTCGTCATTCATGTCACTCAGCTCGGTTTGGTGTGTAAATTAAAACCCACAGTCTCACGGTTAACATAGGAAAAAGGCGGTTCGTTTCACCGTACAATAGATGGATTCTGAAAACCAACACAACTATTGACTGTTGGGGCTGAAAAAAACTGTAATTTCATCGCGAATAAAACAACTGGACACAAAAATGGTGAAAGCATATTTACTCATTGAATTTAGATAAGAAAAATGTCGCCTTTTGTTTGTTTAACTTCATAACAGTGTTTCGAATCCGTTTTATTTTAGTCTGGGTGAAAACTGACGCTTTATATCACCTACTCAGGTTGAAATGTTTTGAAAATGTTTTTCAACAACATCCATGTATTCCTGTTGTCATTCAACGAGTTTCGATAGCACCGCCAAGCAACTGAACTGATATCACATCTGAAGATTTATATTAACAAATGCAATTTAAACTTGCCTGAAAATCCATTCTTTTTAAATTGTCCTGTGGTTAAATAAAGCTTTTAATGTCCCGTAAATTCAAACATGAGGATCGCATGAGCTTAATTAATTCAATGGGAACCTTATTCACTGTGTACCCGCGTAATTCGATTAGGTATATAGCGGCGTTTACTGAAAAAAACAACCGCAGTTGAATAGAAGAACTGCGTGAATAGACTCAGTTTTCATCAGATAACGTGCAAAAATGACAGTCATCAAAAAACTATAGTTACTTCTTCTTTGAAGCCAAGCGTGGGTCGCTCAGCTGAGAACAAAAAAGTCTCCGGAGTGCCTTTGTTTGGTTTTTTGTCATAGCGGGTAGCCCATTGCTTTTTCTTTTTCACAGTTAATAATTCGGAGCCCTATAATTTCGTCGACTCGATGAATCAGTTCGTTAAACTACATAATCCCTTCAGCAGTCCGAATTTGAATTAAAAGATACTACATTTCACACCTTGGGAGCGCTTAAATCCTCTAAGGATACACTGCCACCGCTGAGAAGCACACAGAGAGAAAAAACAGCTTTCAATTAAATGTTTATGTTTATTGTGGCCTTCGAACGTCTTTTCTTTTTTTTTTTCAGGCGGGTTTTGAATTATTTTAGATTTATCTTAATTTTTCTGTTGAACGCAAAGGACACCTGAAGTGTGGTGGTTTGTACTGAGGCAAGCTCTTTATGGTTGAGTGATCCGTACATCCACACCCCCTCAATTCTCTTCCTCCGCGAATCCAGATGTTCGTTTTCCCAGGGAAGAGAGAGAGCACCGTGCGGTTTGCCGTGGAAAGTATTGTTTGAAAGCTAAATGAAATTTTACGTCAGTTTTCCGTTCTGCCGAACCTTTTGAAATTGTGCTAACTGTAAGTGCGAAGATTGACAAGATTTGGTAAACAGATTGCTTTAGAACACCACTCGCCTTAGATATTACGCACGAAGTTTATCGGCAAGATTAGAACATGGCGGCTTGAATCTTATACGCTAACTAATTTTTCGACAGTACTAGGGAACCCTCGTTAGCTTATTAGTATTACGTATTATCCAGAATGTTCATGGTTCTGTTCATTGAAAGATCTGACTACCGTCAGAGTATGCTTGGCATACAATGTTTGTACAACCCATCCGTAGAAAATTACGTATGGTGAAAAATAAAGGAAAGCATTTTGCCTGACCTATCCACAAAACTATGACAACATTACAGGACAATTCTTAGAGAGTTAGGAAGCTTGCGCGGTTCTGAAATACCGCGATGTGTTACCAAATGATTGGAGCAGGGAAGATCCTTATGTCGCTTTCAGAAGGGGGCTTATTTAACTAAATCAATTTCACCGACTATTTTCCTATAAATTTTTTCTCTTAATCTCTTAAAAAAGGATTATAATGTGCCTAAAAGAAAAACTGGGGATAAACTCAAATTACAAAAGCATATTCAGCGATCAAAAAGCGCAGTGGTGTAATATTTTGATTCAGCATGCTGTCTTATTTACACAAAAACAGCTTGATCACATTTTTGTTCTGTTTATAATGATAATATAATAAGGTTAAACTCTTTATTCAGCTGAAAGAAAACAACCTCAGAATGAGCACATAGCTTCTTTAACATAAATTGTTAATTATGTCTTCCTGTTGTCAAACCTAATATTACAGCAGTCGTTTGAACATTACCCCCGGATGTCTAAGCCGTCAATTGCGACCCGAAGCGTGTTTCTCTGTTTGACATTGCGCACCCATATAACAGGAAAAAAGTGAAAGCAGTGTTAAGAGACCACTAGAAGCCGTCTATTAAATTCCTAATACAAACAGGGTAATATTACAAAACGCCACAAGACTGCGTACAGAATGCGAGTCGTTAAAAAAATGCGCTAATCTGCGCGTTCTTCTAAAACTGCTTTAAGGATCACTTAGCGAGTTTATTAATATGCAATTTGTTTCTTCGAAGATGTTGAAGGGGTAAAGATAGCGTTAACTTAACCACTTTGTATTATTTACGCCTAGAGATTAAAAACAAAGAGAATGTTTACGCCCATTGATTTAATCGCTGTGACAGCTGCTGACCGAACCACAAGTCGGAGTTATTGAATCACTCTTTGCTAAAATGTGCTCTTAACAAATTGCACGAATATAGTAAGCCCCGGCTGGCAAAGCTTCTCACGTCTTCCCATTTTATACCTAAAACGTTTGCTCTGACGCATTTTATTGCTGACATAATAACTATTTGTAAGTGATCCAGAGCACTGTTGAATTTGTAAACTTAAACAAAGTTTAAATGTGTGGCGATGATTCTGTTGTCACGCAAATGGATGATATGTACTAAAAATTCTGTCCTTCCAACGGAATTGGTCTCAGCTCAGTGCAGCAATAGTAGACTTTTAATCAATTTCTCGAGAAAAATATAATGCTGGGATGGATTCAACAACCGTTTCATGCATTTCAGTGGCGTAGAAATATGTTTCTTTTTGATCCAAAACACCAAGAAATATCTGAAAAAATTACCGAGTTCGAAAACAAACTAGCTAATCTAAAGTAACCTACTAATCAAAAGAGTTAAAAAAGGATTAATGGGGACATTTCATGAGCAAATTTTCTTCACCCTCTCATTCATTTTCAGTAGGTTGTTTATGTCCCTAATCGATAAAAAAACGTTTGATTTACTGCGCTGCGGAAGGTGGTAAATAAATACTTTTTTAATTTTTTTGATTTACTCCGTGGTCACGACATATTTATTTTCTTTGAACAAGCTTTAAAAAGAAAATGAATTCTTATGGATCAAATCAGAGCGATAGTGTGAAAATGAAAATTAACTAACAAACCCTTGCATTTCTTCTGTATATTTAAATGTTAATTTTCCACTGTGGAAAAAACTGTTTGCAAAATGACTTCCGGGCACTTTGCGTACGCTGCCCCATTTCAAAATTGGCAAATAAACGTTATTATGTCTTTGTTTATCCTAAAAATCCGAGACGATTGCCCGCAGATAGAAAAGCCATAGAAATCTAATATTGGTAAAACCCCATTTCCTTCCTCGGGGGTCGTTCACAGGGCTAATTAATTATTTTAATCCGGCCTTTGATAATGTTCATCAAAGCAATTTAAGGTAAAATTCACGTGATCATATGTGGACATCTCTTAAAGACAGAACCACTCTCCCATTTCGACTCATTTACCGCAAGACTGGCGCCGGTCGACAACATGCAGGGAGGAAAGACGTCCGCTTTCACAGTAGAATCACTCATTTCCAAGGAAAGCTTCGCCGAAACGAGAAGTGATGACACTCATGGATGTATGACACTGCCGAGGTGCTCCTCAGGAGATGATATCGCTCGAAGTTCGCCTAGTTTTAGCGGCGCCATAAACATACCTCGGCCATTAGCCTTGGAAGGTGCTGGCGCAGGCCACACGAGCGCCTTTTCGCAAACCTCTCAGCTCTCTCTATCAACTGGAAGATCTTTTAACATTCAACGTAACTCGGAACATCACCCAGGTAAAGTTGCTGAATTGAAAACGTGTTATAAGTTAGAAAGTGCAAATTTAATCTGGTTTCCTTTAAGGAGCCGCTACTTTATAGTGTTTAAGCGTTCCAACCCACCCTTTGATGTGATCGTCAATAAGTTAAAGAGAAAATAAATTTAGCTAACGCGCATATCACTAAAAATTGGTTTGAATTGTTTTTTGGTCAAACATAATATAAATGAAAATTTCTAACAAAAATTTGTCAGCGGTTGATCGAATATCACGAAATTTATTTCTTCTTTCCTGCCTCATTTTCTTTTCGCCAGTAAATTGGTTTTGGATTACAAGATTATTTTCTTGAATATGGTTGCGCAATCCGCTAAGCGGCGTGCGTTCAGTTCTAGTGAATTTGCGAAATATGTTATCATGTATGATTCATTTGATGGTGGCTCAACAGTAGCGAAAGTTTGACAGAGATTTTCACGAGGACCGAGGAATTAACAGGAACTTGTTTGCTTTGTCTTCCGGACTCTTAACACAACAAAAATGAATCACAAAGACGCACAGCAAATGGAAGATGAAAATAGAAAACAAGTAAGAGGTGACATGCAGAGAAAACTGCTCACTTCAATCAGTGATGTGATTTCAGTACCAATTGTTTTTTATCAGTTTTCATCACAAAAGATTTTTCGTCGACTTTTGCTATCTGCTCTCTATTTACTAGTTCCTAATTTTCCCAATCTTTTACTTGACCGATGCTATCTTTTGGAGTAGAAAGCATGCAGAGGAAAGATCGATTTTTGTCAAGATTTGTTTATCTTGCACTTTACTTCTTGTTTAATTCAACACTGTGTGAAATACTTCAGGTTTGGTTATGAGAGAACTTCAATTTTTTTTACCAAATTTTTGTTTAAATATTGTTTCAAAACAACAAAGGATTCCTCAATGAACAATGGGCTAACAATGATGTAAGTCGCTTCCATAGAGATCATTGGTCACAACTTCTTTCGAAGCTGCCATTTAGTACAAAGGGGTGCTGTGGTGATTGCTTTTATCAATACAACAGAGTTAAATTTCAAGACAGTTTGTTATATATCCATGTTTTTAATTTTGTTTTCATTTTTTTTTCTCAGCAAGAGAAAACAAAACGAGGAGGGTTGAATATAGGCCCTAAAATCCTCCCTAATTTCCAGATTCCTCTGTTGTGAATATGGCCCAGATCTAACATATTCAGTGGTCTTTATGTTTTCATAGACGCACAACGCCATGATGACGCGACAAGGACTCGTCGCTACAGGACGGCTTTCACTCGGGAGCAGCTTAGCAGACTTGAAAAGGAATTCCTCCGAGAAAACTACGTGTCTCGCACGCGGAGGAGTGAGCTTGCATCTTCCCTCAACTTATCAGAAACAACCATCAAAATATGGTTCCAGAATCGGCGAATGAAATCAAAAAGGCGACGCATGGCATTGGGGCTGAAACCTGTTCAAGCCTTTTGTCCGACCAGACACTTACCTTCTGATGGACATCTCAGTTCGGGCCATCTGTATAATGGTCTTCATTATGTACCTTGGTCGCCATATTCTCCCGTCAGTGGTCCCTTGTGGCCCCACGGAGTTCACTTCTTGCACTGTGATCCACATTACCACCCGTTTTCAGTCCCCTCTCCAAGCACCAGCACCGGATCAAGCTACAGACCATCGACGACGCAGGCTAACTGTTCATATGTCTGGAAAACTAACGAATAGACGACTAAGAAAATAACTTATGCTGTAAATATCGTGATCAGTAATCAGAAATGGATCAAACGTTTTATTAAATGAAAGTCGAACTCTTTCCTATCAGCTCGGGGAGCTACTAGGTCATACTTAATCGAATCACTGTATTTATGATGGAGAGGTAAATTATCTAAGCATTACATGTTTGATGTCATTTTTAAATCAGCAGAGCATCGTGTAAAAACAAATGATTTTCTAAGATTAAAAAGATCACTTCCTCCCACAGAATGCAACTTAGTAGACAATACGAATCAGCGTTCATCTTTTGGAATTACTTTCAAGCGCTCCCTATTCTTTTACTAAAAAGTTTTTTTCAGATCGATTTAGTTATTTATTTTTCCTAAAACAAGTTTTTATAGACAAAGTCTCGAGAATGCTTGGAATAAATCCCAAGTCCCTTTCATGGAAATTGGTATCATAACACAAAAGTTTATAACCTTCGATTCAGAGCAAACTTATTTGTTTTTATTCTCTTGTCTTTTTATTTTATTTTAACCTCGATGAATCACCTCAAGACAAGTCTAGTTTTATTTAGGAAAGCAATTATCATCAGTGAATGACCATCAAGGAAGGACGTTTGATTTGGAGACTTGCAAAACCAACATGAGTGCCTGCAACGACGTTAACAAACGCCATTTTGGCAGGAAAATGTCGTTGATGTGGCCAGTTTCCAACGACTTGTCTAAAATTTATTGTTATTAGTGGGTAAAACATCCGAGGAAACTTATTTTTCCCCAGTTACAGAGCTCAAATGATATGTTCATTGAGAATCTGAGCTTCGGAAATCGCTAAAATTTGTAGGTCAAACCTTACTTTTAGTTGATACTTCGGTTCAGTTCGACATGATGTCACAAGGATCATTGAATTGTATATGGGATTAAACCAAAGGATTAAACATGAAGTGTGGCCCTCGTTTAACTGCCTAAAAATTCATGCCAAAAAGTTTAACTTGCTATACGTACTCTGTTTTCGTGCAAAATTTGCCTTAAAATCTGTCTCATCAGGTTTCTGTAAAACTTAACATGTTTCTGCGCGGTTGATGCAGGTGTGAGTGTTAACGTATCCACTGCATCTGTTTTCAGCGTTACATATCTTTCATAATAACTGTAGCTTTCACATTGGGTTCTTGAATCCTGTTTTGGCGGCACGTTTTTTGTCGAATCCTGCACAAATGTCAAGTCTCACTGAACTTTCTTGAGGTTTTATTAGAACTAAGAAAATAACATTTCATTATTCATATAAAAACAAAAGAATGAAAAACACTAGCCTTACAACAGGTTTATTATCATCTATTTCGTATTACATTTCAGCCTTGGCAAGGCTACTTCAAACGCAACAAAATTGGACTCCATCTATTTTAACATGTACATCGCCATGCACGATCCTCTACATTGTTTGATCTGATGAAAAGACACAAGGCAAACATAGAGATCCTATCGGTTAATTTTCGTTGTTCAAAATGTCATCATAAAATCTGACTGCAAATGAAAAGATTGAAAAATGCACGCACATCTTTGAGCCTTCGTCAGTCTCAACAGAGATCAGTTTACGTTTCCCAGTACAAGTTTGATTTGAGCTTATCATGCTTCTAGCCAGAGGATGAGCGCCTGTTTTTCCCTAATTAATTTAAATGATATGAAAAATCGAATTCGAACTTAGATGTGGACATCTTATAATGAATTATTACGAGTCATAAATGAAATCTATTAATAAATAATTCATCTGTTAGTATGCAATAAAAATTGTTATGAATGCTAGGATGTCCGGAAATGTATTCGATGGTCTATCACGAGTTTAAATCTACTTTTGTGCTTCATGAAGAAGTACTTTGATTTATTTCTCACTAAGTTGCTTTCCACCATGCCGCAAAGTAGGTAGTAAATATTGAAAAGAAACATAATCGGATCTTTCTTATTCTTCGAAAATTCGGAAAAAAACCGCGTCACGGCACCAGATTCTTTCAAAACAAGGATTTTGATCTACATAGGTAGATAACCAGTGATACAGCCTCGACCTACGTAAAATTTTAAAAGATATTTATAGTGTTGGGAGAATAAAACGTTTATGCAACACCTTAGAAAGCTGACGGATGATTAAATATATTTTTATTTTTTTAACGGCGGATCACCGGCTTCTTTGCCAGCAGGGAGAATTTAAATAAACTCTCCAAGGAAAAGGAAATCGTGCTTAACGACAAACCAGCCTTCCGTAAAATTGTCATGTTGAGCTGGATTTTGACGGGCAATTAGGACGAACAAATTTGCGTAATTCTTAATAAACCACCGCTGTCGAAAGCGGCACTGTTATTTAAGAGCTATTACGCATGCGTTGTTTAGGTTCCAATAGGTAATGATCCCCTATTAGTGTCCTCGAGTCCACCTCATAAGAAGAACTCCTGTTTGCTCGCGCCTCGATTACCGGTTGAGAATAGCCATATCTGGTCATTAAAAATCATTAACAACGGTAATAATTCGCCCATACGTGTAGGCAGATCTAAGCTTGAATGCATTTTGATTTATAGTTTTGCGCACTTGGATGATTCGGAGATGAAATTTCTCTTTCGTTAACGCCTTTGTTTTTACTTATTTTCAACAAAATGTTCAACCAGTTCTATTATTTCAACTGAGCTCTTTTGAAATGAAATATGAAATAGGATCAGAATGTGGCTAAATATGGCTCTTTCTTGTAGACCACACTGAAAATAATTTGGCGTTGGAGACGGACGGGTGATTATTATTGCAAAAAAAACCCTGACGAGCGAATAATCCTTAATTTTGTAAAATAAATGAAATTGTTTCGTGGGCAGCGTTTCTCTTTCCTGTTTGAATTTTCTCGATAAAAGGTTGATTAAAATCCAAACAATAATTCGGTCTCCGGACCGTTTAAATTTGAAAATTAATTCTCTTTTTGAGACATTTATTTTTTTAATAATACCTTCTATTCATTTTTATATTTCCTTTCTCAAAATGACTGTAAAATATGTTGATAGTGCTTTTTGGTCAATAAAGATGGCGAGGGAAAATCTTCTCTCATATAAGTCTTCATTGCACCCGATATCGTGAAGACTTTTTTATTAGTCCAGAAGTTTGTGTTCATGTCAGAGACCGCCTGTCATAGCAATCTTGTCTGTTCAGAGATGTTTTTTTAAGGGGCTATCGTGAAATAAAACGGGAATTGAGTAAAATTACATCAGAGGTTTCAATAAATGCCGGTTACCGACGATGCACCCCCGTCTGTTTAGCTTGCGAGTAGGCTCTCGTGTTTAGGTTTCGCCTTACGCCACATGCGCCTATTACACTATCGGCGGCTGCCTATGAAAACGTTGTTCAAACCCCTGCTCAAGTAAAAGAATAACGTAGAGAGCTGCATTCACCGACAGCTGTTGGGTCGCTAAATAGCTTTCCGATTGAATATTCAAAATCAAAACCGAGTAAAACGAACAATCACAACAAGTAAAGTAAATTTCTCCGGGAGCCAGTGAGACCTAGAGTGTATAAAGTAAAAGTGCGCAAGCGCAGGAAATTTCAAGTGACCAGGTCGCTCTGGATTTCAGTTTTGGAAGTGATTGGTTGAAGAGATGGCGCGAGTCAATCAAACCAATCATAGGGCGTGGGAAGGGGGAGGGGGGGGGGGGTGTCGAAGCTAATACAAACACTGATTACTGTAAACAGAACAGTACTGTACAACGCAGTTCTTCTCAATTGAAAATGGTCACCCCAGAACCAGGCACGTCAAAAGATGTTATAAGCCTTCAAACCAAAGTTTAAACGGCCTGAACCTCTTTACCTATTCTGTCGTGATCCCCAGCAGGTTGCCTGTCTTAAGCGTGGGGTCTTTCTCAGTTTTATTAAAACCGATGGCCATAGTCTATGTTATCTCACTGGAAAAATCAATTGAAAATATTCCCAATAAACTCCAGTGTACCTTAAGTGGGTGGCGTTCTGTCTGATGGTACGCATTGATGTATGCGCAGCCTCTTTCAGACATCAGTATTCTCTTCTTTGCTAATTTTCAACATCTGATAAATCTGCTAATTACACTTTACTCACAAGGTTACTCGTTACCACATCTTATTTTACTCCCAAAATGTAACTCAACAAAAGCTCGAAACTTCAAAAGCGAACTCGACTATCAAAAAACAAAGAATCTTCGATCGTTTCAAAATAAAGCAACCCAGGGTGGCGGCAAAGGCGAGTATAAGGGCAAGGACGCCCAAATCTATTATTCATTTAATTTCAATTTCATTTAAATTCAATTCTCACGAGGAAATTCCTGCGCGTGAGGTAAACACCTACTATTTACGAGTACACATCTTCATGTGCTCTACGGAGCACATCGAAATCGGTCTGAACTGGCCGAAATTGGACCGAACTACTCGCCATCGGTGGAAATCGTCTGGAAGCAAACGGAGCAGTTTTCAAAAGGATAGCTACTGGTTCGAAGTTGAACAGAACTGTGTTTTACTGAGGGAGTCGTCAACAAATCCTTTAAATTATTGCGAGTGACTCCTTGAGATAAAATTTTACTTAACTGAGAGAACTATTCGTATAACAACCCAATTTTCCGCGTTCTCTTCCATGTTTTTATTATTATTTTATTTCTGATGATAATGTAGTGGTAGATCAAACAATATCCCTTCATAAAGTTCATATTTTTCTTTCCTTTTTGCTTGGAAATGTGTCATACTATGAAGATGAATCAGTTCTGTTTGGTTACCCCTTGGTGTGAAAAGGTAATGACTACGCTGAACGAAATTTCAGACTCATACCGTGGAGGTTAACCGTTGATATCATTGTCCGCGGACTATATCATTTAACGAATAGGACAAGAGATATAAATAATCATTTTCAAACAAGAGGCAACACTTTTTTTGTGCTTAAGCGAAAGCAAACTTACTCTGGAAGAGGAAACATTACAGCAGACAAATAATAGTATGATGTCTTTCAGCTCTCTCTCTGTATCATTTTTAGTAAAGATGCACGTGCGCTGCGTGTAGCTTAATCACGAATCACCATAAATCAACTAAAAATGAGTTTCAATTGAACCACCCAGAACAAAAGAAGTCTGAAATGACGAGGGGTTCGATCGACAGAAGTCGTAGGGAGACTTTTAACTAATAAAACGAGAATAGAACGTGTTTTTCATCAACAGTCAACTTGATCGATGTACAGAC